ATTTCCGGCCCCCCACCAGAGAAGGGAAAAGTTATGTGGCCCTCACAGGAAAAGGTTTGGGGACCACTGCTCTAAACTAACCCCTGTGTGTCTTCTTTCACCATCCCACGTTTTACAGCAGAGATTATGAACTCAGAAAAAAAATGTTTCCACTTGTCTTATCGCTTCAGAATGATGGAAACCGACTCGTCTCGTTGTTATCTGACGCTCGGCTTCTAAACATGCATTGCATCCACAGTTCTCTGGCCTTGTGTACAACTTTGTATGTTTTGCGTGTTGTTGTTTCTAGGCTGCAGGGAGACACGCTATCGAACAGCCGATCTGAAGAGGATCACAGACCTCACATATCTGAGCAAGCTGTGCCTGACATCTCCTGTGAGTTTCATAACATAGTGGGGGGGGGGGGGAAATTTAAATTTTTTTTTTTGGTTGCATATTTGTATGTTTTTGTTACTCTGCGCTGTGTTCCTCTTGCTTCCCTCGTTATGAATGGATTCATCTGGAGCAGCGCCAGTGCCCGGGGTGGACACTGTGGCGAGTCGACTTCAGGAATGTGAGGCCTTATCTCAAGTAACAGGCTCTGTAAGTGTCCTTCCCTGCACCCATTGCCGAACAATTAAGATCACTTTACAAGCCATCAATTACCTCGTAGCTCTCTCTCTCCTCGGCAGCTTTATTGTCTGATATTGAGTGGAAACCACCTCGAGCTTCTTGTTAACAAAATTCTGCGACAGAAAACGATCCATCGTCACGTGGGGCATTTTAGCCTCACGGAACAATTGATGGTGGAAAACAACCGATATCCCGAATTAGACATCTACCTGATATCGCTCTGCTTAACTCTAGCTAAAAGCATTTAATGAAACTTTACGTTAACTCTGTGGTGGTAGGTATTTACTGCACAGTTCACGTCGCACATTTCAAGCAAGCAGTGTGTAGCTGGCCCAAACCAGACCTCTATAAAGGCAGACGCTCACATGCTGTTAATAAAGTGTTCAGCTTAGAGGCTAGAGGCTCTCCGTAAGCACAATAAAAGCCAATACCTTTTTCATAGTCGGCCAATTTAATTGTTAGACGAGGCATTTTACTGTAGGTTTTTCTTTTAAAGAGTAGGAACAGTTTGGTGCCAATGCAGAGCGCCGTGTGTGGAGCAGATGCAGAGTGGCTCCACACTAACTGGGAGCAGACTTTCAGAGGCTGACTGAACAAAGCCGGAGTCTGATTTTTATTTTGCAAATAAAATTCTGAAAAGTGTGGCATGCATTTTGCATTTAGACCCGTTTCGCCGTGCTTTCACTGAATGAAATCCAGGGCAACCAATTACCCGCTGACATCACCTGACTCCAAAATCTTGAATCTTGGAGTACAATCACATTCAATAAATTGGAGGTTTACTGAACACTTCACTCATTTCAGTAACTCCATAAATAAGTCAAACATGATATAGATTATAATACAACACGTTCCAAAGGTTGCTTTTATTCTGATGAACTAGCTTCATTGGAACGCATGTTCTAATATATTGAGTATAACTCTCAATAAAGCTGCTCTGTGATGGTCTCTGACTTGGTTAGAGAACACATTGGTGAAGATTGGAGGCCAGAACTAAAAGCAATTGTACCTTTTTGACAAACTGTATAAATTGTCATTTGTTTACATTATCAATTTAGCCTAACTGAACTTGAGGCAAGAATTAGCAACAAATGTTGGTTTCTAGATACGCAAAGACGATAGAGTATTACTTATTTTAAAGGCAGAAAGCTGTTAGCAGGGCATTTCATGTCTAGCTGAATAATTTTCTGAAGTTTTCTGAACTACAGAACGACAGAAATCGTGTACTAATTAGTTGTTTATGTTTGAGGGATGGGGTGCTTAAATACACAATAATAAGAACAAAGGTTGACTTTGCATTTGTAGAAACTGGACTGTTTGTCTGTTGCTCCACTGGTTGTCGTTAAAGAGAAAAGAAAAAAGAAATAAATAAATAAAGATCAGACATTTCGGGCATATTTTATTATGGGCATATTTATGACTGTACATAAAAATGCACAATTTAAGCTTTACACAGTTCTATTTTGGGCTTTAAATGCCTGGTAATGTTGGAAAGCTAAAACTGTTAGTAGTTATTATTAGGCTCACAGACCCCCTGCCTCTGCCAGCTCTTTTAGGTGATAATTGCCTCATAAAGACGAATACTTTCCTAAAGCAATAGCCGGAGCAAATCCCCCTCAAAAAATGCTTCTATGACCTTCTTTGTAAGAGCTGGGTGATTGGTTTTAATCAGGTTTAGCTGTGAATGGCAGGCCTGTTATGGCCATAACATTTGAGAGAGTAAAGCGTTCACTTCTCTGATAGAAATAAGATAATTGGTGTGCTGCAATGTAATGTGCATGATAAAAAGCAGGAATTTTATGATGGTTTTGCTGCATGGCCTTTAAATATTTGGCATCAGCATAATTTGTCGCATACATTTTGGTTTTGCTGAGGCAAATCTCACAACATAATTTAAGCATTGTGGTTGAGTTATGTAGAGATGGTTGATTTTTAACAACTGTAGCATTTGTTTTTTATTACACAGGCACTCATAAATTACAAAATGTGCACGATTATTATTATTATTGTAATGATGAAAATCCAAAATAATGAGAACACAAAAAAAGTCAAATGAACCAATAGAAAAATAAAATCTATTTTGCAGAATTGATATTCTGAAGTATTTCAGAAGACGCCAAGATAAAGTTGATTTATAGGGTAGTTTTAACTTTATTGTTGTTAAAATGAACCTTATAAAAAAGTTACAGTTATTTTTTTACATGTTTTCATTCCCAACCTGATAGAGACAAAGATGTTACAACTAAACATTTGCAGATGTTCTCCACACTAACAGTGGATTTATTATGCAGCAACTTAATTTTTTCACTTTGTCTTGAAGCAATATTCTTCAGTGCGTCAATCAAATTTCTATAATCCTAATACAAGAAATTGACGAATCTTCAAAATCTTTCCATAAATGTATTTGGTAAAATAACATCAGATAATGTATAACTCAACATACATCTGAGCAAGCTGGGGTTACTAACAAATCTAGCTGAATTTCTGAGCTTGGGGACAATTCAAATCATTCTTTGATTTGTTGTAGGGATACCTGTAAATCACAAAGGCACTATTTCAGAAGAACAACATGCGAAGGTATTGGCTTTTAACAATACTGTCAAATTACTGATGCGTGTGTAAGTTGATAGTCTGTTACACTCGGACTGGTCGGCGTCATGTCTTTGGAATTCCCAAATGAAACTCTAATAGGGTTATTGTCAATATGCTATTTGTTTTTGGCTGCCTCCGGTACACAAGTCCATAAAGTTCATTAGGTGAATCTGTTGTGTGCCAAAACAAAAGGAAATGATTAGAAGTGCAACGTGGCCTCTCATAACCTGTCAGCTCTCCCCATTATCCCCAAAGCCAGAAGAGACCACGTTAGCCACTATAGTTGTAGAGAAAACAAAGCTATTGCTGTCTTCTTGTGAATTGTAAAACAGCAATCTGTTTTATAACGGAAATGCACTTTTAAGATTGAACAGTTCTTTTCAAGATAGTCAAAAAAGCAGGTGGTTAAATTAAATAAGAACAAATAAAGTGTCACGTTATTATCAGACATGCCACTCCTGCTTTGCAAAATGTAAATTTGAAAGTATTACTGTAATAAAAGCAACTGCTGCAGCTCATTTTTGTGTTTATAATGAATAGAAGGTTTTTGTCAACAATTGCATTTTAACCTTTTTTTTTTTCTTTTTGTCAACTTAAACTACCAGCAGTGTGCAGCATGTGCAGGAAACCCACTGCTAAGTTACTCTATGCTGCTGCTGGTGAAAACTCCAGGCCCTCTAGAATTTTTGCTAGTTTTTCATAAAATATTTAGGGATGATTAGATTATTTATTGATTGGTATTATTTTTTTTTAGTTATTTAACTGACTGATACCAGCAGTAGACCCATGCTTACCTTCCAGTTCAGTTGTTTTCCCTCGTGGTCGTAAAGGCAACTTTTATTTGCTTTACTCTGAAGCCGCAAGTCGTTTGAGGGCGATCACCATGGCAACAGCAGAACAACCAAAAAATAATTACTTATTATTCAGAGTCACATAATTTATTTATATAATTAGATGGCCTTTCTTGTGAAGAAAACAAGAGTTTAACGGCCATTAAGCAATCAGGATTTTCTCATTGTGGTGGTTGTTGAAGTTCACAGTGATTTGATTGGCTGCTGCTCCCCAGGAGCCCACCTCCCCAGCTACTGATAGAGATGGTTCTGTCCTTTGTCCAATGTTTTGGTGCTAGAGCTTCGCCAGTGGAAACTCAAATTAACCAGCTTGGTTTTAAAGGGCCTAGTGATTAAAATTAATCGCTGCTCATTCTGCTTCCCACTTGACACCTACTTGCAAACTTGTCCCATTGACCACTTCCCTGTGGAGATTTAGAGGAATAATAGCTGTGGGTTAACTCCAAACCAACAATTGCCATCTGAAGCAGATTATAAATGCCTAATAGGTATTAAACAATACATAAACAACTATTAAAGGAGGTTTCAGTAAGCCATAAAACACATTATGAAATAAGATGTGCATGATAGAAGTATGTTTCAGGTTGAACTTGTCTTGGTTACCATGTAAAATTTTTCTGATTATCTTTTTTTTTATCTCGATAACTGCACGCACAAATATTAAACTTTTTTTTTTTTTTTAAATAGTTCTTGTTTGTGTGCTAAGCCACACTGGCTCAAATCCCAGATTGTGGTGATCTTAAGAGCTGACCACACACACATAGCTGAGAACACACAGTACATATTAAGACTTCCATCCATTTTTTTTTTTTTTTTTTTTTGCTAACTTGATTTCAACATGCAAATAATAATGAAAAAAAGTTTGATCCATATTTGTCGTTTCCGCTTTTGTCTTAATTTTTTTTTCCTTTTGTGGTCACATAGAGATAAGGAGCATTATTAAAATATGGTTTTGCACCACTGATACAAATCTACTCTGTGAAAGTCTATCTGTTTGCTGGAGATGGGAAAAAACATGGTTCTTTTTTTTTTTCCCCCTTGCAGATTAAACAATCTAAACTTAGCCTCTAAACAAAAGGGAGGAAAAGCTTTATATTGTCTGGCATGAGATTTACGGCTGCAAACCGAAATTGAGATTGCTTCTCATGACTTCATGATGCATTTTCAGGCTCTAATCAAGACTGTTTTTGTTCGATTCATGTTTCCCAAATTACACTGAGCCATTTATGCTTTTTACATATTTCGTTGCTTTGCGTTATAATGCCTGACTGTACATGTAGATGTTTTCTATTGAACTTCCTAGAAACGTATGAGTTTACCAAAATCAATCAAGATGAGAAGAGATTTTGATTGTAGCGTTTGTTTATGAGTGGATGTTATCTGATTGGAGTAATTGTTTGCACTGTGTAAAGTTGTGTTGTTTAGGCTTTCAGGACTCCTGAAAACTGGTTGCCTCAGCCTCCAGGCTGGAGTCTCTGGGATAAACTTTGATTCTTGTAAGATTGAAAACAAGAGGGCATTGTACAACCCCCCCTCCCCCCCAAAAAAATAAAATAAAGCGTGGTTGTGTAGTAACAATTTCAAATATGTATTTGGTTTTCCTAAAGAATTTTAGCTGCAACGCCTTTTAAGTTAATATGTCACAGCCTGGTAATGACTTTACAGTGCATGGGAAATAAAAAAAATCGCATCATGTTGGTGGCCTTGGGTGCTGCTGCCGAGGATACCCGAAACGAGAGGCGGAGAAGATGATGTAATGCTGTTGGATTTGGGGAGATACCACCAAAGAAAAAGAAATAGCCGAGTAGTGGATTCAGTTATGATGTTCAGCTCACATCACTGCTTTATGAGGGCTGTAATTAAAGATTGGCTTGTGGTGATGTGGTTTTGCTGCCACGAAATGCTTCATGTGTCTGACAGGCACCAAGATCAATGTGATGGACTTGAAATTTAATGGTCAGCTATTCATAAGAGAATATCAGTTTTCCTTGTTTTGCTCGGATGCATGTTTAGTAAAAAACGGAGTACAGCATCTTGCAAAAAGGCTTCACATCCCTTCGACATGCTAAAACCATAAACTTCAACCGGTTTTATTGGGGTTTTATGAGACAGACCAAAACAAAGTGGTGTATAATTGTGAAAAGCAAGAAAAGAATACATGCACCATACATACACTTCTTTCTTTACAATTGCAATATTTTTACTATTGTAGCTACAGGTCAGGTATACATCTGCCAGCTTTGCATTTCTAAAGGCTGAAATTTTCTGTTTCCGATATTTCTTTGCAAAGTAACTTGGGTTCCTCCTGACTGTCAGGAGAGCTTCTGTAGACATCAATTCTTTAGTAGATTTGGGTCTGAGGCCATATTTTCAGAGATCCTCTGTCCTCTCACAGAGTTCCTAACTTAGCTTAAAGTCCCTGCCCAAGAGTCTTGGCTTCAGAGTGATTCAGCCAATTGCTGAGAGCAACTCTGAGTGAGGAGACGACAGAAATTCCTAGATTAGTGAGAAGATGTGGTTGACCCCTGTTGCTGGGTCCCTAGAAAGTGATTGGCTTCTTTTCTTCTTCTGCTAATCGTTTAACGGCGGTTGGCAAACAACTTAATGGAGCATTTATGCCATCAACTGGTAAAGAGTGTGGACAAAATGTCACCACAATTGCAATAAATGAAAATTATATCCTGTCATTCAAATTACTCAGTCTTATAAATGGAATACGAGCTGGTAGCTTTTCCTTCTTGAGCCTTTCTGAAATATACCAATACTCCACCCAATCCCCAATCTTTGCAGAATCTTTTTTGACACTCTTAGGCTTATAAAAACTCCCCGAGTACTCTTCGCAGTTTGTCATGTTATGCACTCTCTTAAGACCTAAGGTGCTGGTGGTCTTGGTTCTCATTATGCTGTTTGGTCACTAATGTTCTCTAGCAAACCCCCGAACAGTTGAATTTATACTGAGATTGAATTACTCACAGATGAACCTTATTTACCAATTAAGTTACATCTGATGTTAATTGTTGATACTGAATTGTACTTTGGGGCTTTGCAGCAGTTTTACTTCTGCTAAACACTTATGCACTACTTTGTAGTAGTCCATCTCATCAAATCCCAATAAAATACAATAGCGTGTTGTGGTATCATAAGAAAATGTTAAGATACTTAACGTTATAGAAATTTCTAAGCACTTTAGTAAGTCTACTTTATGCGTTTTAATAAAGTACAAATTTGAGTACATGTTCCCGCTCTAGAGATTTAAAATGTATATATTTTTAAATTTGGTTGAGGGAAGTTGTTCTTTATGGACAATAGGAAAGTAAGCTACATAAAAAATATTGGCTCCTCATGATCTCAAACTTAAAAGTAGAAACTGTACAAACAAAATCTATATCTTTATTTTTTTTTATTGTTTTCCTGACTTGTTTATGGAATCTACAAAACAAATGACTATATGCACCTGCTTGTTTCCACATTATTCTAACGTACCCAAAGCCAATGTTTGGAACTCATGTGAAGTAATTGGCCAATCAAGCACAAAATTTCCTCAAACAAAGATTTATGGCTGCTGTGTGTTTAGGATCACCCTGTTCAAAACTCCTATGCTTGTCAAGATTCCCTAGGCTCAGATTGATATTTTTATTAAGCATGGGCATTCAAATATAAGCTTATAAATCAGACCAGAACTGCCATCTCTTGTACTCTTTGGCAACTGGGCATGAGCACCATGACGCAGCTGGAAAGCAGCTAGGAAGATAATGCCAGAGTTTCCTCTGCCAAAACATCCCGTTTGGATTATTAATTTAAATTTGTATCTTTGAAGACTTTTTTTCAGTTGTATTCAGACTTGCAGCTCATAATAGTCGTATTTATTTTCATGCCCAAAGCTGAGAAATAATAATGATAAAAAAACAAAAAGCATGAAAGAAAGCGAGAACAAAAGTCAAAGTTGCGGAAGATCAATGAAATTACATTTGGAATGTAGAAATCGGGGAAGATTGCGTAAACGAATGGCCACGTAAAGAAAGTAGTGAAAGCAAAGGTCTCCAACTGGAATGCGAGTTCATGCGAAAAATATTTATATTAACATTTACCTATTTATCGCAAGGCAACCCTTTGGTGGACATCTTCCACGTCTTCCATTAAGAAAGTGGAGTCTGGGGATTTACGATCAGGACTCCAGCCTGTGGCGCAGAGGTCACTGAGTTCGTTAAAAAGCTCCTTGCTTGGATGAGATTCACCCAGAGTTCCTTACGTCCTTCCTTCCTACCAGGGAAGTGTTCAGGGTAGATTTGTACTCTCTTTTGTCTGATCTGGCCCTGGTTCCAGCAGTAAAAACACAGAGGGGGAGAAAACCTGCTGTGAGAAAAACCATTTGATTTTCTTCTTGCATACCAACCAGATTGGCTGCCAATGCTTTGGATAGTAACTCACAATGATGCCACTTTTACGGATGGTCATTGTCATCAATGTCGGGCTAAATATTTTACTTTTTTAATTCACAGTCAGCAGTTTGGAGCCTTGTACGGCCTTTTATTAATATTATAACTTTCTAGTACTGCTAGTACTAGTATTATCTGTGATAACTATAAACAACTTAAAAATAAGTTTTAGCAAGTTTTTTTTCTAATTTTTCTACCCCTTGGTAGCTGTGATGTCAGGTAAGATTAATTTTTTTATGCTTTGCGGACTTTATCATTGTGGTGTGTGTGTGTGTATATCAAAGGGCGATCCCTGAGTCTTGCTTTAGGAGTATGCTGAACATATCTATTACCAGATGTCTCAGAGCATCTCAACACTTAGTCAAGTCAGCTCTGTTTCTCATTAAAAGCTTAGCATATCAAATGATGTAAGCGCTGGCATCCGACGCATCATAACTTATCTTGTGCAAACTAAACAAACAGGTGGTGGGATTATGGCTGTCAAGTTTTATTTCTCACCTGTGCTTAGAGCTCACGAACACTAAATGCATTAACTCTATACATCATCCGGCCTCAGAAAAAAATAAAATTACGATTAGGCAAGCTTCCATTACTCAACTTGGCAAAGCTCAGTATGTCTTGCAGTTTTTTTTTCCACACAGATCACCAATATAGTGTGTGAAGATGTGTCTGAAATGAAATAACTTTGAAAAAGTTACATTTTGCTTACAGTTATAATTGGGCTGACGAACCTAATGCCAACACACCAGTGCGCAAAGGGTAAGGGGTCTCTGCTGATGGTTATAGAAAAATGTCCTAAACCACTACTGACTGTCTAGCGGGCCACATTCACTTAACAGAGTTCCCTCCATGTTGGATGCTTTCATCTACACTTGCTGTGGTTTCTTGTGTTTTTCTAAAGCCCATAAAATAATAATTGGTTCTTTTTTTTTTCCCCCTCAGCAGATATGGCTCAGATACTTTCGGCAATAGCTGAAAATTATATAAAGAGTTAATTGAAGGGTCTTTCTTCTAATGTGACTCGCTCATTTTGTTTTTTTCTGCTCCCCTCTCTAACTAGCGTCAGGCTGTCTGGGAGGCTGATCTGAAGTCTGCGAGAGGTGGGAGTTCTGTTGGGCAGACGGGGCTGCTGCTTGGCGACTCCCTCTTTTCCAAAGAGCTGGAGAACATGGGCAAACAGCTTGCTGGTAGGCAGCGCATGTGTGCGTGTTTCCACGACGTGCATGTTTTTGCAGTGTGTCTTTGTGCCTGCACAGTTGTTTTAGGAACTTCCAATGTCAATTATTTTCAAATGTTCTTTAATTTTTCTGTTCATTTGTTGTTTATTTCCAAAAGGGACAAGTGGTTAGTAACGCAAAACATACCAAGACCTTCTTATTCCTATGCAAATTTGCATTGCCTTCTACCAGATGTAGCCTTAAGAACAGAGTGACAACATTCTTTAGGGACAGATGATGTGAAGCAAAGCAAATTAACCACAATAAGATCATTAGGAATCAAAAGTTTTACACAGCTGCTGTATTTTTAAAGAAACAATTTCAGTTTTCGTTTAAAATTTGCCCACAGCTTAATTTGGCCTACGCTGGTAGGAAAGTCCACATATTTATTACATAAGTTACACTCTCATGAGCTTAATGACGAGTCTAAAAATTTTGCCACAAGTGCCACAGCACTCTCCTAATTTATACTCGGCATCTGCACAACTGCTACAATAACAACACTTTATCTCACACTTGTTATAAACAAACATGGCCCCCATGCGAAGAGGTCGGATGGTTGAAACTGAAAGTAAAGCTTTCAGTTATTACTGTGCTTGTAGGTACCTGATCACTGAGTGAGTGAAACATCATTCTGAGATGTTTAGTTGATTATTTGAAAAATAAATTTGTAACCCAAGACGGGGCATGTAACCAGAAGGTAATGTCCCCAGTCTTGACCCGCCGTGAACATGTTTTAATCAAATTTACTTGGCAGTGATGAGATCTGATAAGTTTATGTTTGTTACCAAACACCTTAAAGCATAAAATGGAGAAAGTTGCAGTAAAGACTTGTTGCATTTCACTGTCACTTGTGTCTGATGAGTGGCAAAAAAAAGGATAGATAATTTTATATCGTATCAGCTACTACAGGTCTGAAAATCACCAACCAAAAAGTTGCTGTTGCAAAAAAAAAAAAAAAAAAAAAATTTGTTTGATCTGCTGTTCCACATATGTACACATACTTTGGATTATTATTCATAGAATTTATGGGGGTATAGATTACAGCAAGGGAAAGGGTCTAGCCAAAGTATGTGTTACTTTTGGCCAAAGAAAGTGTTCCCTTTGGTGAAAGCATTGCAAAGAAATCTTTTTTTTTTCTTTTCTTTTTTTTTTTTAGCAAAAATGCTACAAGACAAAATAAAAATGTCACTCTCCACATGCTTAATATTTGTTTTAGCTCCAGTGATGTCAGGTTGATTTAATGAAACTGCTGAATTGGTTACAGCCTTTGCTATAGATTGACATATTCCAGGAATGTTGAATTGTTTTGCAATTTGACCTATATTATTCATGGTATCCAGTTCTCATCTTTGATATGTATGACATCTAAGAGAGTCTGAGGCTGTTTTCTGTCACCATTTTATCACATATGTATTGGTTTATGAAACAGATTGTAGTCTGGAATGTAGGCTGGAGGGAAAGGCGCCATTTAGTGTCATGTGTCACACACTTGTTTGTTTTTTTGCATGTCTTCCCACTCAGTTTGACAGCATCACACTGTGTAAAGAGCCTTTACATATCGTCACATACGAGAATTATTTGAAGCATATTGGTTGAACAAAGTGAAGGTGTTTTTTTTTTTTTGTCCACAAAGTAGCATATGTTTTTCAGATGACACAGAAAGACGATGATGATTTCTGTTAATGCAGAGATTGCCAAAAGCTTTGATTTCTATTTTTCATGTGTATTCATCATTCTGATGGAACTTTCTGAGCAAAGGCCTCATTCAAGATGTTTAAGCAAAAATAATTTAAATATTTCAGCTTGTCTCATGACTGAGAAAGACAATTTATTTTTGTTAAATACGAGCAAATTACTGTTCAGAAGAAATAACATCAGATTTTTCTCTTCAGGTTCAGAGTCACTGAATCGCTGTTGGTTAAAAAGTCACTAGACTGATTTATGCCTTTGTTTTGTTGCAGCATATTATGAGAATGTTTTTTTTTTAAACTGTTTACCTTTATTGCAGCCATGTGCATTTTACAGTCGTCAAATTACTTTTTTCACATAGAACCAGATTAATTTGGATATCTTTTGAAATAGTATGAAATATGACATCTTTTATATTTACTCAGAATTAGCTAGAATGTTTTAGGTAAAGTTTAAATACATATTTGTAGAACATTATTGGAAATCTGGTTGTTGTTTTTTTTTGTCTTACAAACTCATCAGAAAGTTTGAAAGACATGCAGTGGTGTTTTTACACAGAAATGAATCTGTCTGCCCTACAATGCTGTGAAAAGCCTCAAAACACTCAAAAATCTTTTGAGTCTTTTGTTTCTCTTATTCAAGTGATATTAATTACTTTTTTAAGGTACTATTCATCATTCAAATGTCTGATTTCCTTTTTCTTTATTGAATTTGTAAACAATGGTTGACTTGGGAAATTTGCCAATTTATTGTGAGAAAAATTATATAGAGGGTAACTGTGACTAACAAAGTTTCTCATATAATCTCATGGTTTAATGGATGCGTCTGGAAGTTCTCTAATTGTACCGAAGCTGAATTATCTTTTTATTGTAAACATTGCATTGTTGGGAAAGTATGCTTCGACCGTTTCGACTAAATTCAGAAGGTGGTGTTTTAATTTATCCAGCAGGCTTTATTCTGCATAGTTGAAGGCCTGGAGGCAAGTATGTCGTTAGTGCTCTTGTTTATTTTCAGAGGAGGGACCCAATAATCCTTGCATGATTTCCGAATGGTTTTATAGCGTGCTGTGGCCGTGTACTCTCAGCGCGTGCATCTGCTCCTTGATCAAAGGCTTTAATAGATTCTGTCTGTTTATGTTTCTCCTCGTCTCCTTCTCTGTCTTATTTTCCACTTTGCTTTCCTTTTCTGTCTCCTCAATCTGAAATTCAGATCACAACGACGCGAGCTTAATACCAGCTGTATTTTGATGTGTGTATTTTCCCCACGTCTTTGATCACCAGAAGCTGTCATTTTGCATCAGTTGCTGTAAAAGTAGAAACTGTGTTTACTGTACCAGCAGCAGAGAATCTTAAAAAGACGCTGCTTTTATTAGGCTGCTCTTTTAGTGTTCGGAAGTTTGCGGAGCTGGTTTACAGAAAGATCATGACTCTTGTAACCGTTTATGGAAGGGAGGAAGATTTACGAAACAAAAACATGTGGTGTTATCATTAGAATTGTAAATATCCTTCAGTGCAACACATCGGCTTTACGGGAACGGACAGCTAACGAACATATCCTGTTTACGGTTGAATATAATAATCGCATGAGAATTTATTAACACAGTGTAGGCGGTTAGCAACTCAAGCTAGAAAGTCATACAGAAACTGTTTTTATTTGAACCCTGTAACATTTATTTCAGTGTGACACCAGGGTGTTTCCCTGGATTTAGGTTCGGCCTTACGGTCAGGAGCTGTGCAGGCGTGTCAGCTAATTAGAGTGCTTCTTTTGAAGCTTAATTTAAATGCAACCAAAAGCTGATGTCATGGTACGATCTGAACTACCACACATTTAAACATCCTAAGAATATTTTGACCAAATGAAAAGGGTTATTTGTTACCTTATTTTTAATACAGTTTAAGTTGCACAAACAAAGGCTTGATGTCATGCAGAATACATGCAGATTATTGGGCCTGTAAACTACATTGTAAAAGTTTACTTTTGTTTTTCTTTAATCTTTCAGTGCAATATGTTTTTATAGTACTAGATCACAAAAAGTTATTTCAATGCATGTCTTCATTTATGTTTGTAAAATCCAGTCATACCGTCAGTTTGAATTAAGCTGATCAGATGTCCCATTTACTGAGAATGGAGGTGATGACAGAGGAACCAAACCTTTCCATTTGAACAATAAATAAATAAATAAATAAATAGTTATATAAACAGTGGTAAAGGTTTAATCTTTAAAAACTGCATGGAGTTAATAGCAGAAATTACTCTGTCAATGGCTGTCTTTGAAACATACAGACACATGCTAAACACTGAACCACTTGACCACTTGAGTACATGCTATGGAAAAACAACCTCCACAAAGTCCATTAAGATAATAGCAGCAATTGCTTTGTCATTGTCTCTGTCCAGAAAACAAAATACAGTAAACAGAAAACAACCGAGCCAGGACTACTTTATATGGAAAAGAAAAACATGGAGAGTACATAAAGTTAATTGCAGAAATAAAGTAAATCACGCTCCCCAGGAAGCCGAGATGACTAAACGTAAAATCATCGGATCAAAGGTACATTCGAAGAAAATGAGAAGCTAGGAGAATTCACATTTTCAGCTCATGGCAGACTGTGGGAAACAAATAGTCATGGCTAAACATCGAAGCTCTAAGCTAGCACCGTGTTCTATGGAAAATTAGATGAAAAATGGCATCAAAAAGCTCATTCAATTATTACATTATTTCTAGCACACAGGCACATACCAAATATGGAAGACAAATGAGAAGAGTTCATAAGACTAAACTCAACTGTATCTCCATAAGGCCTACCTTCCACTGAAAGCCCATCTAAAGTTAAAAATGCAAACATACTGTCAAATAAAAATGTAGATTAACCCTAAAATCTGTGTGGAAAACATCTGCAATTTTTTTTTCCACCCTAAGTTTAATGATGGGTAACACTGCAGACATCTTCTGCTTTGCATACTAAATGGACATTTGTCAGTGAGCAGCAACATGTGGTTCATATTAGCTTGTGGAAAATGTTGTTTGCATGGGAGCAAAAGCACCATTCACTCAAAAACAAGGAAGTCGAGGTTTATGGAATACTTGTCATGCTTCCTTTTGTTATTTACTTGACGCCACACATACACAGTTTAGGACTCGCTCCTGATGACTCACTTGTGAAATTATGCCTTGCACATGATAACTCCCAGACAGTTTTGTTGAAGACAAGATTGCCAACATTTGTATCAGAAACATAACAAATAAGGGGGGGAAAATGAGCCAGATGTTGATCCCACAAGTTGGCAGAATTTGGTCTTTCACAAACAAAAATTGTTTCTACAACTAGCAGAGAGGCAAACAAATTAGTTTTTGTCATGAAAGGGTAGAAAAACTTCTTGCATTCTGTGCTCACTGTACCTCATCTTGGGAGTTTTTTTTTTTTTCTGTTAAGGGGAAGCTGAATTGACCACAGTTTATAAGATCTATAAATATTGTCATCTATTACCCAGAAGAAGGATGAAAGTAAGCAAGTCTCACCCTCTTTAATGCTCAGTAAAATTTGTGAATCATCTGGCCAGTGGGACGTAGACCTGCGTATTTTGTTTGTTTTTTTTTGTTGTTTTTTTTGTGTTTGTTTTTTCCCCCCTTCTGAGTTATGATGAAAAGCAGGGGTGACGTTATGATGGAATCTTGGAAGATAATTTGATAGTGATCTGGGATTTGTACAGAGTACTGCAGGCACCATCACGAAGATCTGCAAACTGAGTCCAAATGTCAGTTAAATTTGTGGAAGACACTGATATCCACTTTAAATGAAATGATGTGAATAAATCTGTTATCAGAAATCTATTTCGAATGATTAAATCTTTTAAGCAAATTCATGAATACACATTAATAGAAGGAAGGAGGCTTTGTGTATTTCTTATAATAAATTTGTAATCATTAAAATCGTTCCACTTCAAATCAAAAACCATACAATAAAAACCACAGAGATCTAATGATTATCTGGAATTAAGTTAATCTTCTTACTTTTTCTCTGAGAACCGATTATTAGAAGTGAAAGAAACACAAACTAGAAAAAAACAATCTTCAATTTTTCTTCATTGGAGTGAGAAATTAGTAATGCAATAGAGAGGGGGGGGGGAGTCTTGCTTGAATTTTACTCCTGAACAGCTAAGTGGCTGATGAAAGAAAAACATTAATTGTAGCAAAATCTACACAGATGAGAATAACAAACAAAGAAAAATATGCAGTAAATCAGTCCTGGTTCTCACTCAGGCAAACCTTCGTCTAATTCTATTCATCTGAGTCTCAGAGCTCAAGTGCCTTGGGGTGCTGGCATCTCAGAGACCAATCATTAGGCCCTCATCAGCCAATCAGTCAGACTTTTAGGAAACGTATTGCCAAGCTGAGTTAAAGGTCAATCAAAAAAAGGGATTTGTTTTTTTTCTGCACTCTTTGCACTTTGGAGGGATTCAAGAATCCAAGGAATCAATCATCTGTTTCAACATTTAAGGTTTCAGACCTACAACCATTGTATTGAGTGATTCCATGTTTTTTCTTTTTCCATATTTATGATTAAATATTCTTAAATTAAGAAGGGATTATTTTAAAATCTTATCTGAAACTCTAATGAATCTAATGAATTTAGTTGCTCTCTGACATATTGACACTCAGATCAAGCTCTAAAGGATGACGAACATGGAAACATTGACATTTTGAGGTTTCAGTAAGCTGTGTGTGGAAAAGGGATTATAGCTAATCAAAAGGTTGGTCGGAGGTATTTTGAGGGTACTTAGAAAAATGCAATTAAATGACGTTAAAGGTCGGGTTTGTGGCGCTTATACGCACCATAATGAAGACGATAAAATATTATGTTCCTTGGTATGTTTTTTGAAAAAAAAATCTTCAACATAAAACAGTCGTCTTGTAGATTTTCTTAAATATATTTTCTTTTGCTCACTATTTGTAATATAACATCTCTCCTTTACATTTAAATAAGAACCTTGAAATTGAAACTCCTTTTATCATTTCAGAGGTTGAGAAAGACCTGGCCAAGCTGGCAGAAGTAGGAAAGATGACCAGTCGGAGCACCAACAATCCACATGGAAGTCTACTCCACACCCCACTACGGCACCGGACGCTACCAGACACTCTTCCTCTCACCAGCCTCATCTCTAGGCCTCAGTCTCCAGCCAGTGGCCTTTCAGGCAAGTCCTGTGGTATCGGCCTCCCCTTGCTGAGCCCCAAGCCCACCTCCCTATCTATGTCCATGTCAATGGGCCGGACCCCCAGCAACCCTGGCAGCAGAACTCAAACCCCCAGAACACCCAGCAGACCCCTGACCCCAAACAGCTTATTGACGCGCTCCTCCTTTAACCCCGCCGCTCATAAAGAAGTAACATTCCGGAGGTCAAGGAGCCGACCTGTGACGCCCACAAGTCAGCCGCCACTTCCTCGACCACTGCTCACCCCTCCGGGACTAAGTACCACAGACAGCCTTGGTGCCAGCCTTCGGGCGTATCTCTCTGAGGTAAGACGGCAGCAGATGAACATTTTGATTATGAAGCACACTGATCACTGTTTATGCACATCTTTTACTATAAATGTCCAAGAAACAGGTAATTGTGTTGAGCTGTATGTTGTCCTCTCTTTTATAAACATTGAAACATCAAATTAATCGTTTATATACTGGAAACAAATGCCAAAGGAATCCCACTGCCTATACATCATGTCTTTACTTGTATAACCACTGCAGTGGTTATATACTATAGACCGGTGGTGCCCAACGTCGGTCCTCGAGGGCTGGCATCCTGCATGTTTTAGTTCTCTCCCTGGCTTAACGCACCTGGTTCAAATGATGGCTTGTTAGAAGGCCTAAGAAGAACACTGACATGCTGAAATGGTTGTTACTACCACCAGGGAGAGAACTAAATCATGCAGGATGCCGGCCCTCGAGGACCAACTTTGGGGACCACTATCTCACAGTAACACATAATTGTGTTGCATGTGTTTTTTTTGTTGTTTTTTTCCACAAGTGTCTTTAAAGTGTGGTACGCATTTGTATTCAGTCAGTACTTTGTAGAAGTAACTTTTTTCTTTACTTACATTTTCATAGTGTCTCTACTAACTTTGCCCATCTAGAAACGGAAGGTTTTGTCTTTTCTTCTTTACAAAGACCTCAAACTGAGGAAGCTCAGATAGGGAACATCTCTTAACTTTATAGCCTTGGCTGTGTTTCAGGCATATTATCCTACTGGAAGCTGAACCTCTGCCCCATTATTTTGTAGGAAACCTTAACAAATTTTCTTCCAGAACTACCTTGTCCTAGGTTGTCATGGTGCAGTTCATTAGAACATCTGAATTTAGTTTGCAATTAGCATTTTTTTTCTTTAACATTTATTTCTTTAAAAAAAAAAGAAGAAGATAATTCCAGTAAAATCTGTTGAAGTTCCTGGTGGTGACATGACAAAATGTGAAAAAAAGAAGAAAAAAAAAAAATTAAACACTTGCACAAAACATTATAAATGTAAATTCTTGTTTGACAGACAGGATAATCCCTGGGTTTCCACAGGAATTTCCTGGAAATAATCATCACAAGACTCCAGAAAGTATAGGCTAGGCAAACAAAATGTCCACAAACACAAGGACCACAAATTGTTATTTTTGCACTTAGTTTTTGTATATTTTCTTAACCTTTAGACAGAGGCGGTCTAGCTGTTTACTTCTGCCTCTTTAGCAATCCTTGTGTCTGTCTGTTATGAGTAGATCCATGTGTGGACCATAGATACTGAAGGAAAGCACATCTTCTCTAGACGGCAAATAAAATCAGTGTTTAAATTGAAAATTAGCTTGTATACATCTGTGTAAAAAAAAAAAAAAAAAAAAAAAAAAAATAAAAATTTTTAAAATTGATATTTTTAACAAGGGGGACAAATTTGGAACGTTGT